CAACATGCTATAATTTTGCAGGCTAGGCACATTCTTTCCAATGAGCCTGGGTTGCATAATACTGTACAAATATATTCAAGTACCTCAGGTTTCTTTATGGGGGCTTCTGTGGTTAGCACCTCACTATGACTCAGTGTTAAACTCGGTGGCACGTTTACAGTATCAGTATGAACTCGTTAACAGTGAGAAGATGACTTACAGTATGTGGCAGATTGTGATCATGTAATTATTATCAAAAATGATAACAGTCTTAAGATTTCTACTCACTCTCCATAACTCCCAAATAGTATATATTAGGTTTACATGAGCAAACGTTAAAACAGACTCACTTTAGTGGACAATACATGGTATATGGTTTTATGACTATCACTTAATAGCAGGTACTTGCTGTTTATTTCTCATCCGCCCACTCGGTGGCTGTTTTTGCTGAGGGAAAATGATGGCAGCATATTCCACTCCATCCTGGGCCTTTGATGTCGCCTCGGCAGGTTTTACTCTGTCATCTCTTTCAGGTCTGTTTTGAAAGTCTAACTCTCCATACTCCACACAGCTGACAAACACAGCCCCGGATGTCCCACACTGCCCCTGCTAACAGCCCAGGCCGTAACGTACAAAACGTGAAGAAAACAAAGCTGAAATGTAATAAGTTTTAAAGTGTAATTTAATGAAATAAAGAGGCCATGACATACCAGTTGTGTTGATCTGTTGCTGTGAACTGGTGGGTTTTCTGCATCTGAGAATCAGTACAGTTACAATCAGCACACAATTTTTTGAACACATTAAAAATTGAGTAGCTTTTTATTTTTATTTTTTCTGCGTCTTTGTCAAGAAGATGTGTGGGGGACTTCTTGCTCTTTTAGTAAATCTGCACATTTACTTATTTTAATTAAAATACTTTAGTTTAATTTAATATTTATGTTTTTTAAATTTCCTTTTCAGACATTTTGACTATATATTTTTCCCTCTATTTTCGATTTTATTTGTAACACAATGTGATACAATGTTTTTTTTTTTTTTTTTTTTTTTAAATACGGTGTATCAAAAGTGTCTACTACCATATTTATTTACTACTACTACCATTACCCTTTTAAAAGCAATGAACTACTCCATGAATCATTTTATTTTATGTTTTACAGTAATGAACGATCGTTAAATGTCAACCCTGTTACCGTGGTTTTGAAAGCTACCGGAAATTAAGAAGTGGACATTTGTAGAAATCTAAAAAGCATCTAGTTTAACGATTTTGAGCACAAGGCTTGTAAATATTAATCTGTAAATCTTCAACCCTGTTACTTTTCTGAAAGCATTACTATATACTAACATTCACTACCATTCAAAAGTTTAGAGTTTTTAAGCGTTTTTGAAAGAAGTCTCTTCTGCTCATCAAGGCATCATTTATTTGATCAAAAATACAATAAAAAGTAATATTGTGAAATATTATTGCAATTTAAAATAACTTCTTTCTATTCTAATATATTTTAAACTTTAATTTATTCCAGTGATTTTAAAGCTGAATTTTCAGCATCATTACTCCAGTCTTCGGTGTCACATGGTCCTTCAGAAATGACTCTAATATGCTGATTTGCTGCTCATGAAACATTTTAATTATTAGTTTTTGCTGCTTCGTACTTTTGTGGCAACCATTATGGATTTTTTTTCTGGACAATTTATTTGGAATAGAAATCTTGTGTAACATTATTGATGTCTTTACTTTCAATTATGATCAACTGAATGCATCCTTGCTGAATAAAAGTATTGATTTCTTTCTAAAAAAAAATCTTACTGATCCCAAACTTTTGAACAGTAGTGTATAATAATAAAAGTTCTGAATTTAGCATAAGATGGCACAATATAATTCAATACCACTATAAAAACATATGTCTAATGTACAAAATCTAAAAAAAAAACCCCATATCTTTAAGATCACCCTATCAAACTGCAAAATCAGCTGTTTCATAGAATAAAAAATAAGAAATTTGATAAAAAATTTGAATGCAACAATTCTACATTACCTGGTTTTCTTGGATGGGTCCTAAAAAGCCAGCACAATATGCCCACAAAAAGACATATAAATATTATGACTGACGCACTGAAGAAAATGAAGAATGGTTTTTGTTCCGATAGCTCCAGTTTAGGTGAATTAGTCACTATATTTTCATGCACAGTTGTGGTTGTAGTTTCTGAAAGAAAAATCACTTTGTTTTTAAAATGAAATGCAACACTTGTTTAATCGTATTAATATTACTATAAATAAAACATTAATTTTACTCATGTAAAAATGCAAACCAACAATTACAATAGCAACAGCACATAATATATACGAGTATTTCACTCAAAAAAAAAAAAAAAAGGATTCTATATAACACTGAGGTTTTAAGAGAAAACGTACCTGTTGTTGTATTGCTTAATGTGACTTTAATATAAATTCTATTGCTCTCAATAAGAGGGTTAGCACCTTCCGAATACACTGCAACATGATATGTTCCTTCATCTTCCAGTGTGAGATTTGTGATGTGTAGTGTGACAGTACTGTTTTCCACATCACTGAGTGCAAACTTTTCTTCACAAGGGCTGATTTGTTTGCAACTTCCTATCTTGTTCTTATCTTTGTACAGGCTAGGTTTATCAGAGATTTTGATGATAACAGGGTCTTGTAAAGTAAATTTAACAGTGATGTTTTCTTCCGATGTACCATTGACTTCATGCGTCGACTCCACTGAAATAAAAACGACACTTGGTCACTTCAACAGAAAGCTTATAATAGACAGTTTAATGGCAGGTTCATCAATGAACTCATCTTTTTTTTGCAAATATAATCAACAAATCAGCTTTTTTTGGTAGCCAAGATTTCAACCTTTGTGTCTATAAAGAAAAAAAAAAATCACCTTACATCATGAAAACTGCAATCTCAAACAGTCTGTGTCATGATGTTTCTTTTTAGCGTTAAATAAACCTACTCGCTGTTATCTCATTGATGGTATGATACAGGCATGAAACTCTTCAAAAGAAGAAAGGGCTGCTGTTTTGCAGATCTCGTTCACATTTTCCGTGAGTCAAAGGAAATTTCTTGGTACTTCAATTGTCTCGTTTTTTTTGGTACAATATTACAAATGCTTTCAATAAAAGTGGCTCAAAAAGTTTTGAACACTTAAAAACGCTTAGTGTAAAGGCACAATTGTTCATCAGATTTATGGTTCAAAATGAAGAAAAATTTGATATGTGATGCGATAAAATTCATTCATTTTTAAGCGTTTGCTCCAACTTGAGTGCACAAAAGCGTTCAGATTTGTTATATCGTCCCTTAATGTGAGAAACATTTCGCAAAGTTGAAGTGAAAATACCGTACAAATCAACAGCCAGGAACGAGAACTCAACAGAGAGGAAATACAAAACCCAAAAACGTCCGTGACCTCTTTTACTCACCGTTAAGGATCAAGTACAACATGAATGAAAAAAGTAAGAGTTTCTTCTTGAGGTCACACTTCATGCTGCAGGAGGAACGGAGCAAGTGAACCGGAGATGCAAACGTCTTCCCGTTTCTGCTGATTTATGCTTTGCACTAACATGCTGTTTAGAAGAAAACCTACGTCTTTCAGGGGGAGGTACAGACAGGAACTCAATGTCATTACACTTGTAGAAGAAGTTTTTTTTCTTTTTTCTTTTCCTTTTGTTCACTTTCAGATCTCTAGAAACCAAAAAGTAGATGTGGCAATTCCAAAAAGAAAAGAATCAATAAAAAATATATATATATTATTATTATTAAGAGTAATAACACAATCTAAAAAGATGTAATTTTTATAATAAACTGCATATTTTTTTAAAAAGGTGGTCTGTAGCATATTTGTGATGTGACTGTGGATCCTACATTTCATCTCTCATCACATGCTCGCACATCATCTCACCACAAGACCACCGACAGACCACCTTGAGTTTCACAGTCCCACAGAGGAAGTGTTTGGGTGACTTTATAGCAGACGTGTGTAGTGTAAACGGCCACAAAACAGACTTAACGTTACAGCTTACCGACGGCATGGAATTATAACGTTTAAAACATCTTCAAACAAAATAAAACCTACCCAAACCTAACATTTATGGAAAATTCCCTTGCTCTAAGATCACAGTTGAACTTTTCAGATAAAACCTACCTTCATTGGGCCTATATCAGCTCACCCTAATGCCAGTTTGGTTTTCCTGTTTGATAACTAATTTATGTCCTCCAGACTCGATATGAATTTATTTAGGCTATTTCTAGAAATCAGACTTAAGTCGACGCGAATGTATAAACGTGTTTTTACCACTGATCTATGTGATAACCAGTGTTTTTACGTCTGAATGTACTTTCTTCAGAACGCGCTGAGAACGTTTAAAGGCAGGGTATGTGATTTTTCAAAAACACTTTAGAAAACTGATTCGGGCCGAATAGCAAAACAAACTTGTAGCCAATCAGCAATAAGGGGCGTGTCTACTCGTGATGTGGAGGAGAGCGCGTTCAGTGCATGGGACGGACATTAGCCGAGCCGAGCGACAGAAAGATAGAGATGGCAGATAAAAAAACAAAAGAGGAAAACGTCTGCGGAAAGATAAGGCAAGAAGTAGGACCCGTGTAAAATATTGGATCAGCTTTCCAGTGCTGGAGAGAACTCAAGGAGCGGAGGCCTGCGATCGGACGCCGAGGTTGCTTTGTTTCTTCTCAATAGGTGAGTAACACCGTGTCTACAACAGCTAAAGTCTGACTACACTGGACGCGATCAAACGACCGTTGAAAACCATTTGAAATGTGTGTCAGCACATCATAAATAGAACCCGGCAGCAGTTTTCTGTCGGGATTTGTTGCGCCGCGCCGCTCACATCCGTAGACACGGTATAACATTGGTTTTGCTTTGTTTCACAGAACTAATCGTTGCCTGGGTTGCGTACGTATATGTGGGGCGGAGCTATCAAAATAGGGGCAAGACCCTTTTGGGGTAGGGGCGTGTTTGTTTTGGTGATTTCAAATATTGCACACATTAAACGTTTGAAGCGTTTCATTCATGGACGTGGGAGCGAACACGTACCTCATTAGACCGAATTATAAAGACAAGTAAGACGACCTTCTTCTTGTTTAAGCGTTTTGCGATTAACTTAGCCAGCTAAAATAGCAGCTAGCTAAACTTAAGGCTGGATTTGAGTGCTTCTAAACTGCATTTATGAAGAAGTGTTTACGTAAACATCTGCTGAACTTTATATAAATACTGTTTGCGTTCATTTCCTCCTGTAGGTTCAAGGCAGGAGCGGCGAAAGAGTGCATTAGAGAAATCCTGAGGGAGCAGCTGTATGGAGTGCAGTAAGATCCTGAGGAGGTTCCCACATTATCCAGATCTTTAGCAGACTCGATTAAAAACAAGCTGCGAGGTGAGAGGCGCTGATACTGCTCTGTTTCTGTGAGTCGGAAATCAACAGTGTCGGAAACTAAGAAAAATAATTTGACATACAATTGAACATGGAAACTTTTTTTTTTTTGGCTAAGCTTTGGTTTTGATTGATACTTGAGTGACAGCAGGCTGTTGTATTTTCAGACGTGGGCTTTGACAGATACAAGCTCATCGTGCAGGTGGTCGTTGGAGAGCAGCGTGGAGAAGGAGTCAAGTAAGCGCAATACTTCTTAGGAAAATGAATGAATTGTGAAATCAGGATGGTTTCAAACAGACCTCTAGCGCTCATGCAGTAGACCCATGACCACAGACATTTTCACGTGCAAGACGTGTCCTCAGATGTCTAGCCGAGCTTTGGGTTGTTGTCACGTATCTGAGGTTTCTACTGATCTTTCTAGGTCACCCACATCGAGTAAGAGACAGTCTGACTCACTGTGGGCTCAGGATGTGAAACTAATATTGCAGGGCATCTGATACTGAGAGCTGTTTGTATTTGCAGAACTGACTTGTCAAGATCTTGAGCCACCACCATAAAAACAACTGCAGTGTAAAAAAATGTGTTGTTAGTTATATAAGACTCACAATTTTTTTTGACTTTTTAATTTCACATTACATATTAAAATGAACTATATTTAAATATCGGATTTCATTTAAAAAATTAGTTTTTTACGTATTTGGGTGATTATAGTTATTCTATAAAATAAAATCAACTTTTTTTCACTGAATATGTTTTCACAGGATGGCTGCGCGCTGCTTCTGGGATGCAGATACAGACAGCTATGCTCAAGATATATTTATGAATGTAAGTGAGGAATTATTTTTGCATTAATGTGACTTTCATCCCTTACTTTATCATTTTATGTTCTTTTTCTAACAGGACAGCTTGTTCTGTGTGGCCGCTGCGTTTGGTGTGTATTATTACTGAAGACACATAGGAGATGTGCAGAGGACCAAACATTCGCAGATGTGATATTTAATACCGTCACAATTTTTTTGTATCATTCGTTTGTTTGTCTGAATACCTCGCTGTATGATTTTTCCAGCCCGGTCTCATGAAAATGCGTATAAATAGTACGCCAAATAAAAACGAAAACTTGTGGTATTGATACGCAAAAATGGACTTTGGCGTGCATATAATACGCAGTTTTCGCGTGCATATGATACGAAATTTGTTGGCGTGCATATGATACGCAGTTTTCACGTACATATGATAAGCATCTACCCCACAACCCTAAACCTACCCATCGCATAGCATATACACGCCAAAGTCCATTTTTGCGTATCAATACCACGAGTTTTCGTTTTTATTTGGCGTACTATTTATACACTCTTTCATGAGATCGGGTTGAATTTTTCCTACATTGCCGTCTTTTGTCAAAGTTGTTATTTTCATCTTAATATTTATATAAAATACATACATTTTTGTCACTATCATTCTGTATTAGTTGGTCAAGCATTTTAAATATAATATTTTCACTTTTCACACATATTAATTTGATATGATTGACCGTGATATTGTTTTGTTATATTATTAAAACAAATTCAAAAAATTTGAATTATATTATTTAATATCAATTATATGTGACCCTGGGCCACAAAACCAGTCATATGTGTCAATTTTAATGTAAATAAGCTTGAATAAATAAGCTTTTCATTCATGTATGGTTTGTTATGATACAACTATTTGAAAATCTGGAATCTGAGGATGCAAAAAAATCTAAATATTGAGAAAATCGCCTTTAAAGTTGTCCAAATGAAGTTCTTAGCAATGCATATTACTAATCAAAAATTAAGTTTTGATATATTTACAATAGGAAATTTACAAAATATCTTCATGGAACATGATCTTTACTTAATATCCTAATGATTTTTGGCGTAAAAGAAAAATCGATAATTTTGACCCATATTATTGGCTATTGCTACAAATATACCCCAGCGACTTATGACTGGTTTTGTGGTCCAGGGTCACAAATTATCATCTAACAACATATTATAATAGCTTTAACATGCGCTTGCATGGATATACATGCCACATTAATTAAAATAACGATATTATAATGGCTAAATGTGTAAGGGGGCCCCCTACTGATTGTTTATGTGACTTACAAAAGTTTGGCTGTCATTTCTGAATTTCAGTCACTGTTGATGAGATGTAATTGTGTGATGAGACTGGTGTCCTTTTCCCTGCCCATCGGTCACTGGCCTTTTGTTTTGCAGCTGTCTGTGTTGCTGAGTAGCAGTCAGTGTGATCGCTGGACTGACAGTGATGGACTAGCATAGAAAGCCCACGGGTGTGAAAAAAACAACCACAGAGGAAAACAGATCATACTCTCACAAACTAACCATAAACACTAAGAGAGGACACTGAAAATTGCACTTAAGCGGTCAGATATCAGAAACATGCTAAAAGGCCAGTATTCTTGCAAATGGATCCTTGTTAAAGGAAGGTTTAAATTGTTTAAATGAAGGATTCTTAATTGTTTTAGATATTGAAAATTTTGAATAGTTAATAAATAGCCCTGCATCATGTTTGATGAATGGAATCCAGAACTTGTTTCGTGCTAATTTTGGGGTGCTGATTTTGAAAATAGTGCCCATTTTGCTCAAGCACGTCAGACTTTCTCACAATATATGATTTGCTCTTAGCATTTTTGCCTTTGACAAATACAGAGTTCTGTCATGAAACTCTAGATGGCGCAGTCCGATAGGTCTAACTCAATCTGACCTAATGACATCATCATCACATGGCACAGCTGATTGGTTCTCTCCTGTATCGGTAGCCAATGAGCTCGCTGCTCAACATTCAAATATATGACTGACTAGTGGTTGCCGTAGCAGTTACAGCGTGCTTCAGAAACCCTCCACCTTCCCCAGCTCCACCTGCATAGATCTGCTACGAGGTGATTCACGTATGCTATATGGGGGTTATTTCATGCATGTTATATTTGCAGCAGCAATATTCCTTACATGCTCACACAGCAGCATGTTGTTTAAGGTGAAAAAGCCTTGTATTATCATTTAATCTGCAGAAATAAATGCCAAAGAAATGATTTCTGTCTTCCTCTGAGCCAAATTACAACTATTTGTTCAATTCTCAGCCCATTTTCACATGTATGAATGATTATGCAGAAATTCATATTTTATGCCTAGTCCTGATTTCCACTTCCTTTGCAGATTGTAAGTTAAATGATACATTAACTTATTTTTGTCCATAAAACCAAAACTTTGAGATTATTTTTTTTTTGAAAAAAAAAAATAAATAAAAAAAAATAATAATAAAATAAAATAAGTACATGTTTTTATTGATATTTTTGAATTCAGCACCCTCAAATTAGGTAATATTAAGCCTTTTTTTGCGAATCAGTTAAAATAAAACGTATATATATATTTTTTAAGATGCAGGGCTGTTATTAATTGTCAAAGCCAGTAAGCCATCACTAGAAGTAAAATAAAAAAGCGAAGCAGAAATAAAATAAAATAAAATAAAAATAATAGATTTTTTTTAGGATGCAGGGCCTGTCAAAGCCAGTAAAAATAACTAAAATTAAAATTAGATTGAGAAGCAGCCAAAAAAGAAGAAAAAAAAAACTAACCAAAATAAATATATAAATAGGCGCTGATGTGTTGACACACACAGTTTACTTTTGAAGGCTAAACCTATTAAGACAGTCTTGAGTATGATACAGTTGTAAGAGAGGGTCATACATTCAGGCAACACAAATCCCGGCTACTCATTTATTAGTGTGTGGAAAACAAAATGATTTCTCCTATAGATTTGGCATGTTGAGATTTGTTTGCCCCTCATACCCTCCATACTTTTATCTATGATGGGAAAAAATATTTTTAATAAAAATTGCATCAAAGGCTTTGATCAGAGATCATGTTCTAAGATTAAAGGCACCCAGAATTGTGAATAAACCTTCTGAAGCACAATTATTATTCATATAGGAGTACAGGATATTTCTTTGTGGCTTTTAGTGTCTCTTCAATAAAATTCTCAGGGACCAAAAATAACCCATATATCTGTCTTTCCAGACTCTATTTACCTTACCTTAGTGAACAGTGTCATTATCCATCCGTCTTCCCTTTAGATCCGGACTTTCACCAAGGCCACTTTTATGCATTTCATAAAGAAGGAAGCTGCCAGCACATTTATGTTATTATGGATGTGTTTGTGTTACTGTAGATATCAGCAAACTGTGGTTTGCAGAGCAATATATTTTATTTACAAAGCTTGTCACAAGAAGAGATAGCTGTATGTCATTTCAGTTCAGTTTCACAGTCAGTAAAACAATAGCAGCGGAAAAAAAGCCTGCAATCAACAAAAACACACAAACAAAAATGTTACTGAACAAGTTTTTTTAAAGCAAGCAAAGTAAACTGCACACATCAGGTGTCGAATAATAATAAAAGGAATGCCTAGAAATCTCTTTGTAATGAATTCTTGCATGAATTCTTGCAATCAGCTGTTGTTGTCAGTTTTGTAACATTATTATTATTATTTATTATATTTTACATAAAGCAGCTGTTTTAGAGAAAGCCATGGTCAGAATTATATTGGCACCCTAAAAAATATTATCAAAGAGGATTGTGAAAATCTGTATTGTTTATTATTCTGATATTTTATTTAAAAAAAGTAAATAAAAATAAAATAAATAAAAAAATAACTAACTTTTCAACAAAACCACATTATGAAAATATTTTTTTCTCTCTAATACACATTGGCCACAATTATTTGAAGTCCTAGAAATTATTATGAGTAAAATCTCTGAAGATCTATATTCCCATTCATATTTAATTTTTTTAGAACTCCATGGTGACTAGGAACATGAAATTATCCAGCCATGACTTTTTGTTTCACAGGAATTTAAATATGAGGAACACAAAGGCCAGATTCTCTTTGCCATCCATCACAATGAAAAAAAAAATAGTTCTGTTGTGCAGCAACCGATTGTTGAGCTTTACAAAATATGAAGTCAAACAAATAGCAAAAAACACACACACACAAAAGAGCTAAAGCCTTGGACATTTCCACCATTAGAACAATAATTAGGGAGTTCCAATTAACAAGAAATGTTACAAATCTGCCTACAGTATATTGTCTGTCTATATTGTCTTAATGCAATGTGAGGAGGATAGCTTGAGTGGCCAAAGACTCTCCAAGGATCACAGCTGGAGAATTGCAGAACATGGTTAAGTCTTGGGGTCAGAAAGCCTTATAACGGGTCGTGGTTGGATCTTCAAACAGAACAATGATCCAATAGGAGCATCAAAATCAACACAACAAATGAGTCACTGAGCTCAAAACGATGGTTCTGCCATGGCCAGCCCAGTTCCCTGACCTGAACCCTATAGAAGACTGAAGAGGAGAGAGTACCAACATGGAGCTGGGAATCTGAAGGGTCTGGAGAGATTCTGGATGAAGGAATGGTCTCTGATCTCTTGTCAGGTGTTCTCCAAACTCATGAGGAATTATAGGACAGACTCATAGCTGATAATTGGCAAAAGGAGTTTGCAAAAAGTATTGAATAAAAGGGTGCCATTAATTGTGGCCAATGAGCATTAGAGAGAAAAACAAAACCTTTCATAATGAGATTTCCCTTCCCTTCCATCTTGGTTGAAAGATTTTAAAGGGATCCCTGGGTATTAAGACATGTATAGCTTAATATAACGTAAATTATGTCTCTTATTTAAATATATAGTACAAACCCCATGAAAGATGCATGTTATTTAAAAAAATCGACATGGTTTTTGGACTATGGGGGGCGCCATTATTTTATGTGCACAATACATTCTGCGTCGATGACGTCAAATGGTTGCACTCGGTGAGCTACTGGCGCTTATTTCTATAGTTTGGCTTTTTACCGCAACACAACTCGGTGCTACGATATCATCTTTAGTCCTGATGCCTTTGAGTCGTTTAGTAGACGACAGCTACTGAAAGAGCTTACTAACGGCTGAGAAACGCTATGTCATAATA